ATAATCAGTTATTGGGGGGCATTCATAATCGAAATCCAAAATATCCAAAATTATCCAACCGCAGAAGCAATTAAATCAATAAATAAAAGACGCCACTCTTGCTTATGGTTAAAGGGCGGGCCACAAAACCGAAACCTAAAAATACATTCTACCCCGAATTTTGGAATAGGCCAAGAAACGCCTAAAACCGCGAAATCATGCCTAATTACATTTTTTAATATTTCTAAAATTTTAATATTCTAAACTTAATTAAATTACAATCTGTTCATAATTGGTCATTTTCGGATTTATTGGAAAAATTAAATTTTATTTTTGTACAAAATTTATCTTTTTTCGAAAGAGTGAAAATGTTTCTGGACCGTAGAACAGTCGCGTCACGCAGCTGTTCTTTGAAGAATAGTTGCGTGACGCGGCTCTTCTGGGTAAAAGAAATGAAATTTTGGACATGAACAGTTCCGTCACGCAACTGCAAGCTCCGTTACGGATCTACTGGCTGCGTGACGCAACTGCTTTGGTCCGAATTTTGTTTTTAAATTATTTGTTTAAAGCATTTTTTATATAAATATATTTTAGGGCAACCTCAAATGACCAAAAACGAACAGAATACAATTCAATTAAGATTAAACTACTAAAACAACAATAAAATCAATAATCAATGAATAAAAAACACAAAAGGTGTAAAGAAATTACCTAAGATTGAGGATTGTAAACGGCTTAACGAATGAAGGTTACGACGATCCAGAAGCTTCGTTACCAAGGATTTAAATAATCACTCTTTTCTTTCTTGAGTTTCTCTCTTTTTAGTTTAATTCACCTAAAATTGATCTCTAATGGCAATTCTCCTTCAAACGAACTCAAAAGAGCTTTTGGAGGAGAATCTGGCCGCACAATAGAGCTTTTGGAGGAAGAAATCTGGCCGGGCAGCAATGCGTTTAGGGTTTCTTAAGAAAAAATCATCCCGAATTCTCCTTAACATGAGAAAAAAAGATCTATTTATATAAGCTTGGGGCACAGAGCAGCTAAGGCTGCGTGACGCAGAGCTTACTTTGCCTGTATCTAGAGCTACATATCGTTTAATACAAAACGGGCATGTAGTCTAACATCAGCTGCGTGACGGCAGCTAGCGGACCCAGTCAAGACACTCTAGGACGGATAAAATTAGATTTTATTTAAATTGCCTTGAATTTAAAAAGATCTTCTAAGGTAGCAATTAACACTTTCATCTCCACATCCTCAGTAGTCATCATTGGATTAGGTGGGGGCATAAAAAACCACGCATCAACAATTGGGTAAGTGATCTGAAAGAGCGCTTCGGTGGCTGCCACCGACTGGGACTAGGTTTTTTTAGGAGTTTCATAAGGATGCTGGGGGCGCTATTTGTGGTAGAGGCTAGGGAGTTGGTGGTGGAGCAACCAAGTCGAACTGGCTGGGCTCCTAAGATACCAGCTCGACTTCCTAAGACTCCGGACGCATTAGAGGTTCAGGAACTCGGGCTCTAAGTAATTTGTTTATGAGCACTGGCATACTGACTAGTTCAGTAAGTTGTGAAAAGATAAATCCTTGGATTAAAAGACTTCTAGGTAGCATTAACCTTTCATTCCACATCCTCGTATCATCATTGGATTAGGTGGGGGCATAAAAACACGCATCAACAATTGGGTAGTGATTCTGAGAGCGCTTCGGTGGCTGCACCGACTGGGACTAGGTTTTTTAGGAGTTTCATAAGGATGCTGGGGCTATTTGTGGTAGAGGCTAGGGAGTTGGTGGTGGACAACCAAGTCGAACTGGCTGGGCTCCTAGATACCGCTCGACTTCCTAGACTCGGACCATTAGAGGTTCAGGACTCGGGCTCTAGTATTTGGTTTAGTGAGCACCTGCATACTGACTAGTTCAGTAAGTTGTGAAGATCTGAGAGTGGTGAACCTGGTCCTTCAGACGGAGCAAGGTGCTGTGATAGCTAGCATGGCCTTGGCTGAGACTATCATAAGCCTTGACCGAGCTTATAGAGTTGATGGGATTTGGTCTGCTAGCCCAATCTTGCTTCAGGTAAGCATTCTCGAACTAGCTCGTCTTTATGTTTGGTTAAGGTGCTTTCTGAAAGAGGCTTAAGTTTTGAGTTGCCTATGAATATACCTGTCTAGGGTGCAAATAGTGGGGGGTAAAGTCCAGTCCTACATGCTTTCTAGGAAAGGCTTGAGTACTTAAGTTAGGATCAAGCTGAATTTGTTTAAGGAAGGAGTTTTGCATGTAAATGCCTGTTTAGACTTGGATAGTTGAGGAGGCAAAATCTGGTAAGGTTTGCTTTCAAGGAAAGGCTTGAGTGTTTAAGTTGGGGTATGGTTGAATCTGTTAGGGAAGAGAATATTTGCATCTGAGTACCTATTTCATCTTTGCATCTTGGTGCAATGTTTGATCTTGCAGGTCTAGCTAAGAGATCATCTGAGAGTTGTAGGCCACCACAATGTCATCCATATGAGCCATCACAGTATCGATCCAGACGAGTCATGGTGAGACTCGGGTCAGAGGATGAGTGGCTATAGTGGTTGTTGGCGCTGAGGCCTGATCAGATTCTGTGGAGATGTGACTAGTATGAGATTAGGAGGTTTCTGGTCCGGTCAGTTGGGTTCTAGATGGCTTATCTACTTGGTATGGATAGCATCACATTTATGTTGGTCCTAGATTGATGAGACAGATGGGGCATGTTCAGGGATTGCCATCGGCTGGAGCTCTTTTCCGGGATATACTAATTTCTCCAAAGGTTACTGTGGCCATACTGGGTAGTTAGTCGAGAGGAGCTCATGTGGTTGAGACTGGAGCTTTAAGGGGCAGGACTACTACTTATGAGGCTTGATGGATGGCTGAGCATGGTGACCGAGAGAGGGATCGTACAACGACTCTAACTCGGGAGATGGATGCTAGACTCTGGGTGACGACTAAGACGACCTTAGACTCTACTCGACAGGTTGACCCAGAGGATTCTAACAACTCTAGGGAGATGCCTTCGAGGCGACACAGACAATTTGCCTAGTCCCTCGGTGCAGGCCGACCTTATCTTGATAGGGTGTGATTTTTATTCTTTTGACTTTGACTCGACTCGTATTTTTTTCATAGGGCTTCATGGTAGGACACTAACCCATGATGTATAGAGGGTTCAGTTGACATATAATTTGAGACTATAGATAGTGGATACACACAGATGGTTGACACAAATAGATAGATGGCAGAGATAGGTAGATGGTAGAGACAAATGTCTATGTAATAGGGCTTTTGTGATTTTCTTTTTACATCACTTGTACTAATTAGGGATATGTGAAAAGGTAATTATTTTGACACTTTTTGGAAGAGGAAATAAGTATTATCCTTCATGAGATTGCTGCTTCTGAGCCTTAATTTTGGCCTAAGCCGCCCTTGCGGGTTTTCAACTTAGCAGGCTGCCCTAATTTTTGCCTAAGCCGTCCTTTCGAGTTTTCGACTTAGTGGGCTCTGATTTTGCCTAAGCCGCCTGCCTTTGCAGGTTTTCAACTTAGCTTATTGATTAGTCTTTCTTCTTTTTTATTTTGATTTTTTCATTAATAGGCACAGAAAATTTAGAATTTTCATAAGAGAAGGAACAAAATTGTATTTTTATTATTATTTTGACCACACCCACAGACTTGGATACTTACATATCCCGTACTTTTGGAACATATTTTCGGGAGTCAGGTCACTGTAATTCTACTTTACAGTGACATGAAAAGGGGCAATTTTTCTGGTGCTAATGCCTAAATGCATCCAGACAAAGCATCTCTTGAGCTGATCGAAATTGCACGGATAGGTGAATTCGTTGCCATCTATATCGATCAAGATGACACCACCTCCGGAAAGGATCTCCTTTAGTATGTAGCGGCTTGCTCAGTTTGGCCAGAATTTACCCCGAGGATCTTACACAGGAGCTCTGATTTCCTTGAGAGCAAGACAACTTTCTTCTAGTTTTTGATCTCGAATTCTTCTGTTGAAATGTCTAGCTATTCTCTAATGGTAACTCTAAAAATGATTAAAAGCCTCTAGTCTTTTCTCATAAATAGCATTCAACTAGTTAATAATTCTGGGTGCATTTGGCTTCGGGCAACTGATTTTCTCTCATGATCCTAGCTAATCTAATATGAACTTCAATAGGGAGGATCGCTTCCATCCCATATACTAGTGAATGTGGCGTTGCCCGGTTGGCATTCTGATGGAGATTCTGTATCCCCATCAGGTGAAAGGCAGATCCTCGTGCCAATTTCTATGATTGTGAATCATCTTCTAAAGGATATTCTTAATGGACTTATTTGCTGCTTCAACTGCTCCACTGGTCTGGGGCCTGTATGGTGAAGATCGGTGGTGCTGAATTTTATACTTTGTCATTAGAGTGGAGACCTCTTTTTGGAAATGAGACCCATTATTTGATATGGTCTCAAAAGGGATTCCGTATCTGCAGATGATGTTTGTCTGCATAAACTGAGCTACTTTCTTGGAATTCAGGACATGGTATGAGGCAGCTTTTACCCATTTGGTGAAGTAGTCGATGGCTATGAGGATGTATTCATGCTGATTGGAAGACTTAAGAGTGATTCTGCCAATCACATCGATCCTCTAAGTTACGAAGGGCCAAGGCGTAGCAACAGGGTGACGTGCTATTGGGGGCATTTTCTGGAGCTTGGCATAGATCTGGCACTTATGACATCTCTGAACAAACTTGGCGCTTTGCATGGTGAGCTGATAATAACCTTGATTGGTGATTTATGGGCTAGAGCCTTTCGACAGTTCCTAGAGAGTCCTCTTATTAGATTTAGAGGCACCTTCAGGGTGTCTTCCCTTTCTAACTAGATCTAAATGTCCCAGAACCATGGTTTGCCATCGCTAAGCTGGAGATTGCAGCAATAGGCTGGCTATTGATGAATTTGAATATTCAGAAGCTTGATGACCATGTTAGGACTGGCATCAATCATAGAGGCAAGAGTTGCTAGTGCATCGGCAAACTAATTCTTAGCCCGGGGCAAGTAGTGAAATGATAATTCTTCAAACTGCTGAGCTAACTGATCAAGGCGTCGAAGGTATGGGACCAAACGCTGCTCTTTGATCTTCCACTTCTTTAGCGCTTGAGAGGCGATCAGAATGGAGTCCCCATAAACTGTTAGGTGCTTGACCTGAATCCTCAACGTTGCTTCAAACCCTACAATACATGCTTCATATTCTGCCTCATTATTAGTGACTTGAAATGCCAACTTAATACTAAAGGGCAATTGTTTCCCGTCTGGAGTTACTATAACTATACCAACGTCGTAACCCTGATAATTAGTAGCTCCATCAAAATACATCTTCCACTGGCCTGTTTGGATTGGAAGGATGTCTTCATCTAGAAACCTGACATTTGCTATTTCGGCATCACCAGGGGATGCAGCTAGGTGATCTGCTATCACATTGCCTTTGATTGCTTTTTTTGCAATAAATTTCAGATCAAATGCTACAAAGATAATGGCCCATTTTGCCATCTTACTGTCCAGAATCGGCCTCTCCATAAGGAATTTTAAGGGCCTATGTTCAGCGATGGCATGAGTGGTGTAGGAGCAGAGGTAATGCTGGAGTTTGGTGCATACCCATGCCAGAGCGAGGCAGAGCTATTCAATCTTGCTATACTTTAATTCTGTCACCAACATGCACTTATTCAGGTAGTAAATGACAATCTTCTTGCGAGATTCTGATGCCTCTTATGCTAACATAGCCCCTATGGCTTTGTCAGTCATTGATAAGTAGAGGAGAAGTGGCTTTCCCGGTCTCGGATGCTAGAGAACCGGAGGGTTAAGCAAATATGCTTTGATGTTCAAAGGCTTTCTGGCATTGTTCATCCTAAGTCTTTGGGCCATCCTTTCTCAACTTCTTGAAGACCAGTCCATAGGTGTTTGCTAGTTGTGAAACAAATTGGCTAATGTATTGAAGGCGGCCTAAGAAGCCCCGAATCTCCTGTTTTATTTTAGGAGGTTGCATATCTAAGATGGCTTTAGATTTTGATGGATCAATCTCGATTCCTGTCTTGGAGACCATGTAGCCCAGTAAGATACTAGATGGAGCTCCAAAGAGACATTTAGAAGGATAAGTTTCAAATTGTACTGGCAGAGCCTGGAGAAAAATTATTCAAGGGCAATTAGATGGCTTGGTCCGTCCTTATTGTGGACAACCATGTCATCAACATATACTTTTATGTTTTTATGCATCAAGTGATGAAAGATTATGGTAGCTATCCTCTGATAAGTGGCACCAGCACTCTTCAATCCAAACATCATCATCCTATAATAAAAGGTACCCTATTTTGTGATGAACGAAGTCTTTGGTTTATCCATTGGATTGATTGGTATCGAATTATACGTTGTATACAAATTTTTAACTGAAATCACACTGGATCTTACCATTCTATCAACAACCAGGTCGATGTGAGGTATAGAGAAATCATCTTTAGAGCATGCCCTATTCAGATCTCGGTAATCGATGCAAATTCTGATCTTGCCATCTTTCTTGGGGATCGGTACTATGTTGGCTAGCCATGTCAGGTTATCTATAGCTTTAATAAAGTTGTTCTCCAATAACTTGGTTGTTTCTTCCTTAATTCTACGAAAAATCTCCGGTTTCTGTCTTCGAAGCTTCCGCTTTACTGGCTTGATGTGATCATATATGGGGATCTTGTGCACGGCAATATCAGGGTCTATGTCGGTCATGTCGCTAGCTATCCAAGCGAAGCAATCTGAATACTGCTTGATGAACTCTGTCAACTCCTGTTTACAATTACATTCATGCACAACAAATGTATGTCTTGGTTCGTTTTTTATGCCAACATTTATTTGTTCTTTTGTTAATTTTATTTCTTTTTCATTTGCATTTTCTATTTTGCCAACAATTTCATTTAGGATAGAGAGGGGGTAACAAGAAAACTACAACTTTTTATTAGTGATAAAAGTGCCATGGTCGGCATCTAAATTGAGTTGAACAAAAAGATCCCCT